GCGCTATTTGGTTGCCCTACGTCTACGCACATCGTTTCTTCGCTGCGGCTAATGCATTAAGGGGCTGCTGCTACTTATCTAATAGCTGTCGCCCACTAACAGTGTCACTTTCGCATTCGCTATTTTGCGCGGCCTAACTACTCGGCACTGCCCAACGTACGCCAAAGGAGGTTTGCCGGCTGTCGCTGCGGTCATTGTTGCGTCGCATCAAATAGAACACATCGCAGCGTAACTACACTACCTGCTTATATTCCATCGACTGCTCAGCTCATCGCACAACCCAACGTGCAGATTGTTGCGCACACAACATCGAATCATTTGGACTTGGTGTACAGCGAGTACTTGCACCGGTCTATCTGCATCACAATTTGCTCCGATTGCTGCTGATTGCCGCCACCTTTATACGCTGCGTTAAATTTGTTGAAAACGTTCATCATTGATACGACTGACTTTATTGTTTCACCAACCATTGTATAGTAAGTCATTTAATTTTAAGCTTATTTCACCATGTCTCTGGAAAGATTGAAACAATCTCGAGCTAGTACTAAAAAAAATATAACACGTATTAAGAATATTGTCAACGATAGTTTGAAACCAGGGGGACAGCCGCTGTCGCCAGCGGAGTACAAGTGTCGACTTGGGATTCTCGAATCCTACTTTAAGCAAATACTGTCGATACAATCAGAAATTGAAGAATTAGATCCAGAAGACAACGCCCGCGGGGATTTAGAAGATCTCTATGTAACGACGAAATTGAGTATTCAGACGCAATTGGGGGAGGACCATAACGCAACACTTTTAGATTCCACTTGCATAGTGCAAGCGAGCTCAAAATTGCCGCAGTTGAAATTACCCTCTTTTTCTGGAAAGTATTCCGAATACAGGAATTTCATCACGTCGTTCAAGCAAATTATTGATCGCGAACCAAGTCTTTCCAACATTGAGAAATTCAACCACTTGCGCAATTGCTTACATGGCCAAGCTTTGGAAGCAGTTAATGCGTTTCAAGTCACGAATGAAAATTATTCTAAAGCGTTGGAAAGACTTAGAGCTCGTTTCGACAATCCAACACTTATTTTTTTGGAAAACATCTCGTCGTTGTTCGAGCTTCCTTCGGTTTCAAAATCCAATTGTGTTGAATTACGAAGTCTCATTGACAACGCCTCTGCAATTTTCGGTTCTTTACGTTCCTTGGGTACCGAAGGTGAAATTGCCCAAGCCATGCTAATATATTTGGTTATACATAAGGCTGACGATGACACAAAAAAGAAATGGAAACAATCATTGGACTTTAAAAGGTTACCTTCTTGGGAAAACTGCACCGATGTTCTGGAAAGACATTGCCAATACCTCGAGTCACTTACTGGCAATAGCGCTTCCGCTCCGCTAACTCCGACAAATAGTAAGGGCTCGAGAGGACACAAACAACAGAAGAGTCACACATTTGCGCTTTCTAATTCGCCATGCGCGGTCTGTTCAAGCGGGAGCCATAAGATTTTTAATTGTGATCGCTTCAAATCTTTGACCGTCATACAGCGCTTTGAGCAAGTAAAACGAATAGGGCTCTGTATTAATTGTCTCACTGGGGGCCATCAGTTGTCAAGTTGTCCATCATTACAAAGGTGCAAAATTTGTTCGCGACAACATCACAGCCTACTTCACCGTGCTACATCGAGTTCGCCAGAATCTTCCAACTCTTTGAATCAGTCACCTCAACCGCTATCAACACCAGGTTTGTCTGCGACCTCAAGTCGTGCTACCACTCACACTCACTTAAAACACTCTTCGTTCGATCAAGTAATTCTGGCTACTGCCATTGTCCTAGTTCGTGACGCTTCAGGCACCTATAGACAGGGCAGAGCATTGCTGGACTCTTGTTCACAAGCTAATTTCATTACCGACGAATTTTCCCAAAGGCTTTTGCTACCCAGAAGCAAACACAATATTGAAATCTGCAGTATTGGGCAGACATCAACCAACATCAAGTACAAAACTACTACATGTATCAAATCCCGAACAACCGGTGTCGAATTGCCTCTAGCATTTTGCGTGACATCAAACATTGCTTACGAATCGGGATTGGAGATCGATATTTCAGCTTGGAATATACCATCAAATATAGAACTTGCTGATGAACAGTTTTATAAGTCCACAACAATTGATCTTCTTCTAGGCACCGAAACCTTTTTTCAGTTTATTATCGGTCGGCCAGATTAAGCTTGGCGATAATTTACCAGTTTTGCAAAAGACGTTGTTGGGATGGGTTGTCTCAGGTCGCTACCAGTCAAATAGCAACAACATTAGATCATTATGTATGGTAGCTTGTAATGATGAACTAGATAAAAAACTGGAACAACTCTGGAGGCTCGAGGAAGTCACGTCCGTTGGAGACATGTGGACTCGTGAGGAACACAGTTGTGAACGCCTGTACACGAACACGGTTTCACGAAGCCAGACCGGAAGAATAATTGTCAAACTTCCATTCAAAGATGACCCCTGTTGCTTGGGTGCTTCGTATACGACTGCTCTGCGTCGTTTTATGTCACAAGAGCGCCGCTTGTGGCAGTCTCCAGAACTCGGAAAACAGTACGCTGCCTTTATGGAGGAATACGAAAACTTGGGACATATGAGTATTGTTGAGGAGCCAAATCTTAATGAACCTCACTACTTTATACCACATCACTGCGTCTTAAAGCCATCAAGCACTTCGACGAAATTGAGGGTTGTCTTTGACGCGTCCTGCCGCACCACTTCGCAAAGATCACTCAACGATATACAAATGATCGGGCCAACACTACAAAGAGAGTTAGTAATGCTCCTTTTAAGTTTTCGACTACATCGTTTCGCATTAACCGCTGACATTGTAAAAATGTACAGACAGGTGATCATAAGCCCAGAACATCGCAAGTTCCAATATATTCTTTGGAGAAAACCGTCTACAGATAAAATTAGTACGTACCAATTAAATACGGTTACTTATGGAATGGCCGCCGCACCATACCTCGCAATACGAAGCCTATTCTATTTAGCTGATCAGTACGCATCACAATTCAAAATAGGGTCAAACGTCATCAAATCATCGTTTTATGTAGACGATCTTTTATGTGGTGCCGATTCAGTCGCTGAACTTTTTCGAATCAAACATGAGGTAAGCGAATTGCTGAAATTGGGTGGGTTTGAGCTTGCGAAGTGGCACTCAAACCATCCGGAGCTCAAAGTTGTAGGAACTGTGAAGGATTTGAAACTGGACGATTCCATCACAAGCACACTCGGTATTAAATGGAATCAGAATTGTGACTCCTTTCTTTTCACATTTGAACCGAAACAGCGTAGCAATAGCCGAATCACAAAGCGATATATTTTATCTATTGCATCTACCCTTTTCGATCCTCTTGGTCTTCTAGCTCCGGTGAGTATCACTGCAAAACTCATCATTCAGGAACTATGGCTGCTCAAACTCGAATGGGACGAGTCTGTCAGTCAAAGCATTCAAATGGCTTGGTCCAAGTTTCTCAACGACATGTCGAATCTTAATTTAATCAAAGTTCCAAGATACTGTTTAGGAAGAAACATTCAATCGCTTCAGCTTCACGGATTCTGCGACTCGTCAATTCGTGCGTATGGCTGCGCAATTTATACGCGCGTAGTAGACAGTAAAGACAACATATTCGTACATCTTCTTATAGCTAAGTCGAGAGTCGCGCCTATTAAAAAACAAACGTTGCCGAAGTTAGAGCTCTGTGGCGCTTTGCTGCTTGCACGACTTCTTTCAAAAATTAAACCAATTTTTTCTAATCACAAACTTGACACGTATCTATGGACAGATTCGGAGATAGTTCTGCATTGGCTTAAAATGCACTCCGCTACGCTTTCTACGTTCGTCGGAAATAGAGTGTCCGAAATTCAGGATCTAACTGCTGACGTAAATTGGAGACACGTCCCGACTCAAAGTAATCCAGCCGATATTGTTTCAAGAGGCAGCACTGTAGAAGAACTCTTGAAATCGAATTGGTTCACTGGTCCGTCGTTCTTGTATGATAATGCACACAAATGGCCTGATAACGACTGCAATAACGTTGACATGGAAGTCGTAGAAAGGGAGAAACGCACGGCAGTGTTCACTGTAATATTAGCGTCGAGTTACATTTTTGAAACTATTGACAACATTAGTTCATATATTCGTAGTATTCGATTAGTTGCTCAATTATTCCGTTTTTATAGCAAGCTGCAAAGAAACGTAACCGAGAACTGCCAGGACGGACCACTTTCATCGCAGGAGATGCATCACGCCTTGCTGTGTATTGTATGGAATATACAACAGCAGTACTTCGCTGAGGAACTCCGCCTGCTGAGAAAAGAGGCGATGGCAAGTGGAACAATGCGGTATCTTAACCCGTTCATCGAATCCGTTGAAGGATTCGAACTACTAAAAGTTGGCGGGCGCTTAGAGTTAGCGGATCTTCCTGATGCTCAAAAGCACCCAATTTTGCTGCCAGAAAAATGTCAATTCGTCGCTCGCTACGTTCATCATTTGCATGTGAGCAACTACCACGCAGGACCTAAGGCGTTAATAGGTTTAATTCGTCTTAAATTTTGGA